TTTGGACCTCTCTTTCACAAAATTAACTGTATCATCAACCCACTCTAACTCTCGAGATACAGCTCATGTTGGCTGTGTTTCCCTAGGCTGTGTTTGGTTTAAGAGTAAACAGAAAGTGATTGAGAAATTATGAAATTCTTTAGGCTGTGTTTGGTTTGACAGATACCAAATACAGACTTAACGGTCAGCATGGAACCACCATCCACGGTGAATTTCAATGGTTATTGTGAATGACCCAGTAACTGAGACAGTCATTCGGCATCCTTTTGAATATGGAGGCCCAAGATCAAACCTGCATAGCTGCAAGCTCACATGGTAAGGTCGTCAATGGACCTCACCTGAACCCTACTCTCTCTCCACCCTTTATAATCTCCCTTCGATGCATAAAATTGTACAGTCATGTAGAAAAGCATACATATATACATATTAGACTTCAAAAGGCGTTATCAGTTGTTAGCGGCGTTAATATTTGAATTTTGAAGGTTTGATATTTGAAGCATTCAATACTGGGAGCATGTGAATCATTATTGTTGAATGTTGACAAAACCAATTTGACAAGCTTCGGGGAGGTGATTTTGAGTGTGCCCTCAAACTGGAGGAAGCTTCGTCTCAACATAAAAACATAGAAGTGGGGTATCAACTTGTTCATCAATTGGATTCAAAACGTGAGGTTCAACTGTTGAAGGCCCCCAAAATCAACCACAATCCAATTAATTGTACATTCAGACTTTAGAGAAGTGACGTATACCTGTATGACGTCGATGACCTGTATGAAAAAGCATGACTGCAACTTGGGTTGTGTTCCAAATTAATTAAGTTTTCAATGGGCTCGCCCAAAACCCTTGCCCATTATTGTTGAAATTGTTTAAATGAGGTAGCAAAAGCCCAATATTGTTTGATTATTAGTTTTTTCGGTATCATGTTTTTCCAACATCATGGTCAAATCTTTTTTTTTTTTTTTTTTCTATTATAAATAATGAATTTTTTCTATCTTTACATTGTAATGTGAAACCCCTTGGAAGATTGATTGTACACAAAAAATGATGGAACTGAAATTTTGTAAATGGCAAAAATATACACAAAAGCAGCATAGGCTATAAATGTTGTACATCCAAACCATGGGTTTTAAAACCGGACTGGACCGGATGGTCAGACCGGCAAAATTGGAAACCGGTCAAGTGATCGATTCTGTTTTACCCCAGAACTGTTATTTTGCCAAAAACTGTTGATATGGTCAGCAAACCACTGACTCAGGTGGTTGAACCATCCAATGGTTTTGGCCGTTTTTTATTTTTTTATTTTTTTGCCTCATGTCTGACATGTTGGATAGAGACAAAGCAAGCATATGAGTTCAGATTTGGCACCCCACAGAGCGTGCCCCACATATACATTTCATCGTGCATTAAGAACATCTTCCGTATTTGTCATAGAGAGGTGTTCTCAATACATGATTGGGATGTGTTGTGGGGCACGGATGAGGCACAATCTGTGAGGTGCCGATGTGAATTCCAAAGGAATTTCTGCAATTGGCAAAGCACAAAGCACCCCTTGTTTTCCTCTCTCCATGATGAAACTTCAGTGCCATAAAGCTTCCACATGTCCCTGAAGAATAGAACCTTTAATGGGCTTTCTTTTAACTAAAAGTTGCAAGCGCTGGATAGCCACTATCATCTTCACAAAACTATAGGGGGTGTAACTTAGGTGGGTTCGGGTTGGACTTTTTGTCAAATTTTGAGTGGACTTGGCCCAAAAGCCTGAATCCTGTTATGCTAATTTGTGTCAACACAATTTGCACTCCTATATATTACAATGTGGGGTATAGGCGTATAAATCTAAAGTCTATTGCAGGATCTAAAACATGAACACTGCTCCTCACATGCACATCCACCGTGCACTGAGAACATTCCCAATGCACGGTAGGATGTGCATGTGTGGCACCTGTGAGGTGCCCTGTGTGAGGAGTAGATCCGATCTCCCTTACAACATGTACCAGCTGCACATCAGGAATATCTCTCGTATGAGGAACACTTTATGAGAAGCAGATCCCAATTCATTAGAAAACCATTTTATGATATTTTCCAAAATGCAAGACATACTTTTGCTACAAGGGATATTTAGAAGATTTATCTGAAACTGAAAGACCAAGAATCTTGCACTTGAATTGTGACCATTGCATGAAATTTCGATATTTTATTTAAGCAGAACAGAACATAATGAAAATTTCCAAAGCTTTAGATGTTTTTCCCAAAGCTTGAAGTCATAGGTTGAATTAGTAAAAAATAATCCAAGTATTCATAATTTAAGAATGGATGTTAATAAAAAAGAATGATGAAATAGGATCCATGAGACAAAGCTTAGATGATGATTACGACAAGTCTTGTATAGTATTAGCCAACTTATTATGGTTGTCCAAAGGTTTCAAATTTTCAATTTTTTTAACCCGTGGTAAGATATATAATAGAGGAGAAAGGATGAATCAGAAGGATGCAACTTGGGTGGGTCCGGATTGGACTTTTATCAAAATTTGAATAGGCCTGGCCCAAAGGCCCAAGCCTACAGCAGTGTAAAATACTAATTCAAGCTGAGCTGAATCTACTAACCACAATATTGTGTATACACATCTACAGCGGCACATTGGGAATATCTCTTATATTATTTATGGGAGATGTTCCCAATGTGCCACCTGTGGTATCATGTTTATATGGATGTGGGTAGCGTTTTGTGACCAACAGATCCATGTTTAACTCGAGCCAATACAAATTGCATCCCTAGGCTTAGTTGGTAGGTTCTGTGGCTGATTGCAGTCATGACTTGGATCCGTTTACACCCCTAGTCCGAATTTGATTCGAATAGTATTGGGGGTTATTTAATAGAATATTCCCTATAGTTTTATCGAATTTGATTCGAATAGTATTGGGGGTCATTTAATAGAATATTCCCTATAGTTTTATGGATTTATTAAAACCTACCATATAGTTTTCATTTTACTAAAACACCTTCGTTACTTTGCAACCTATTTACTTAGGTTGTGTTTGGTCAAAGGAAAATGTAGGGAAAGGTAAGGAAACCTTTACAAATCTTGTACCAGTTTCCCTATCTTTCCTTTCCTTTCCCCACCTTTTCCTTCAAATCAAACATAGCCTTAATCGACCTTTCATGAAGAAGTGTTTGTTTTGCCATTGAAAACAGTAACATTATAACCTAAATTGAGTGGAAAATTGTTCAGGGGCATGGTCCCATGCTTGTTTATTCCAAAAGTACCTATAATACTTCTTCATATAGAAAATAAATTTGACCAAATAGAGCCTAAAAGAGTGGTTGCTTGTATCTTATTAGGGGCAAAAATGGTATTTCATTTCCATGCTCTTTTTTATTGAATTTATTCAAATGGACATTAGAGTTAAAGCTGTCATTTTCCACTATCATCTAATGGAAGATCGATTAAATAAACAGATTGCAAACTATGGTGGGTATTTAGTAAAACACAAATTATAGGGTGGATTTTAGTAAACCCATGAAACCATAGAGGGTGTTTCAGTAAATGACCTTATTATTAAGGGTAAATTTCTTAAACTACCCTTATGGTTTAACTAATTAACTAATTTCTTAAACTACCCTTATTATTAAGGGTGTTTCATTAACTAATTAACTAATTTCTTAAACTACTGTTTCAAAATTGACCGTGTACCCTTATTGTTTCTGACAATTGACTAAGTGTACCCCTTAACCGTTAAACATGGACGAAAAAAGTAAAATGCCCGTTATACCCCTATATGAAATTACATTTTTATCCCTGTTTTTAACTTAACTCAATCCCACTCAGACACTCGCTCCATCTATCAAAAGAGAAGAGAGGAGCACCATTCATCGACGGCTCGACACTGCCATCGCCATTGCTACTAACGGCAGTCACTACAAATACCGAACGGTAGAAGTCTGGCAGAAGTTCGACAGAGGTTGGTGAATTCTTTTCTCCACTGCTTGCCGGTCTTCGTCCTTATTGGAATCACTCAGCCAACTTTTTTCTTTTATTTTCCTCCTTTCCTAAAATAAATGGAATTAGGTTCTCCGATTATAATCGTGAAAATGTCAAAGTCCAAATTCCCTTTCTATAGTTCTTTCTTTATTTCTGTGTTCTTGCTGCTGCAGTTGTAGTTTGTCTTGAGACTACAGACAAGCAAAGGGTGGTCCAGAAGTTGAAATTAAGAGAACCCAGATAAGAAATCAAGCTTAAATCCCATGCATGTGGGAATCAAGACTGTCCAATTAGAATTTGGGTCTAGCTTATGCTAGACAATTAGACCAGCTTTCTATTTGGAGCAGTTGGAGGTTTAAACTGAAACCCATACATGTCAGAATGTGCAGTAGGTGGAAGATGAAGAGTTTGTTTTTAACTTCAAAATACTACAACTGAACATCGTCCCATAATATAACTCTGAAAAATTTCATTGCGCCGCATTCCTTACTTCCAGACTTGCCCGAGGAACATGAAATTCCAGACAACTCATAACCTACTCAAGAGTTGGTATGTACATGTTAACATGTTAGCCTGCACTGTAGAGGTCTGAAACATCAGAACAGGCACCCAAAGACACCAAAATCACCTTTAGTTGGCATGTACAGACACTAATGTTGCTCCAAATTCGGACAATAGTGACTCCCTTATCACTGTCTATCAATGATATATAACTCCTGAAAGCAAACCCTGTTGGTCTACAACCCACACTCGGTGCATTAGAGGTGTCAATTGGACTGGATTTAATCCAACCGAATCCAATCCAATGTCAGTCCAATTAGAAATGGACTAGATCCAATCCAATCTAGTCCGAATCCAATACAAACCAAATCCAATCCAATCCATTAAAATGTAAATGAATTGGATTAGATTGGATCCAATCCAAACCAAATGAAATATCAAAAGTTATATAAAAGCACTTTTGGCATTGAAATGCACTTTTGTAATTTTTCCAATTCTAGAATCTTAAGCCTCTGAAAACCTCCTAATGAAAACCATAATCCTTCTCCCTCATAAGCTTTAAGAAGACGAAGATCACCAAGTTGGGCAAAGCTTGAAGGGCATCAGTGAGATCATTCTTTAATCTTGACCATCTCAGACATATTTTCACCAGGTTATCAAGCAAAGGTATCCATGTCAGTAACTTCTCTAAACGCCCTTTTAAATATAGACGTTCTAAGAGTTTGGAAGGAGATGGTAGTAACTGTAAATCAAGGATCTCATCCTCATCTCGTAAAGACACATCAAATGAAAGTAGGTGATCCATCTTTGCAATTGAGTCACATAGTCCAAGTCCATATTCTTTTCTAAGCCTTCTAATTCCCAACCTCCTTAGTTGGGTCAACCTTCCCAACTCTCTAATTATGCCTTTCCCATGGCTTGCATCTAAATACGCAAGCTTTTGTAGGGCTACTAAACCTCCAATACCTGTTGGGACTGTGACTAGTTGGGCAGAATCAAAAGGTAAATAGGATTCTACCTGATATCGATAAATAAGAATATGACGGAGTTGTTGAAGCTTGAGGATATACTTGGGTAGTTTAGTCACATAGGTCTTCTTAAGATCGAGTGTTTCTAGATTTCTAAGCCTCCCTATGGACTCTGGGATCATTTTGATATTTGTTCCCCTCAGACTTAGGTACTTCAAATGCAACAGATTTACAATTTCATCCGGGAAAATCTCCAATGGAACATGATTCAGCTATAGTACCTTCAAAATCTGGAAGCCAGAAAAGCATTTACACGAAAGGGATAATTCGTCTATCCTAAAAATTACCAGAGAAGGAAGGTTGGAGGAGAAGTTGTTCGTGTTTTCAAAAACACTCTCGCCCCTGTCATCCTCATTGTATCTTTGCTAACTGAACCAGCAAAATATGCCTCGCGTGCTTTCAGAATGATGATGTCACGCATTAGATCATGGATTTTACACTTTTTCATAGTTCCATCGCTATGTGTGTCTGCAATCTGAACTAGGCATCTATTGATCAGCTCCTTGAAATAGTTCTGTGTTGTCTCTTCCATAGTCAATCCTCCCTTTTCTTTTATGAATCCTTTTGCTACCCATAGCCGTATCAGCCTTACACAGTTAACCTGGTAGTCCTCAGGAAACAAGCTAAAGTACAAGAAACAAGGTTTTGCGTAGCAAGGGAGATCATTGTAGCTGAACAATAGTATTTTCTTCACATTTTCAAGTTCTTCACCGCTTCCTAATTCTGCAGCAAGACTTCGATATATCCTATCCCACTCTTTTTCAGCCTTCTCTTCTCTTTTTGACAGGAGACTACCAATGGCTATAATTACAAGCGGAAGACCTTCGCATCTTCCCAAGATCTTCTGAGAAAGATCCTCCAAGTGTGGGGGCAATCACTTTCTAGGGGAAACACTTTTATGCAGAAGAGAGCCCAAGCGTCCTCCGATCCAAGAGGCTTAAGGTGGTGAACATGGCCGATAAATTCTTTGAAGGAGGAGGCTATGTTCATGAAACGTGTTGTAATGATTATTCGATTGCCCAAATTCCTTCTAGGAAGCGCCAATTTAAGAGCCTCCCACGCATCGATATTCCACATATCATCTAAGACGATCAAATATGTTTTTTCTAGCAAGAATTCCTTCAGTATTTTCTTGAGATCAGTGTCATTCATCTTCTCCATCTCTTGAGGAATCGATTGCTCACTTGCCTTGAAGAGTTTCTCTATCATGCTCCTTAAGAGATCACCAACCTTGAAAGACTGGGAGATATTGAGCCAGGCTCGGTGTCTGAAGTATCCCTGCACGCTCTCATCATTGTAGACTTTCTTGACAATGGTGGTCTTGCCTAAACCACCCATGCCGATGACCGAAACTACTGCAAACTTTTTAGGATTTTCCTCCACCAACCATCCAATCAGTTTCCTTTTGGGTTTATTCGTGCCCACGAGCTCAGCCTCCTCCAGCAGAAGAGAATCCTCTCGAGGATTATGCCACGTATTATGATTAGTGGCAATGGAACTTGAACCTACTTCTAGCGTATTAAGGCGATACCTTTGGCTTCTCTCAAAAATTTCACGAACCCTGGTTTTTATGCCTTGTATCTCCATGGCTAATTGATGCTTGACTCTCAATTTTTTCATTGATCCACCAAATCTGCTCAGGCAACCGAAAATCCCATGTCTATCATGCTCAGGCAACTGAAAATCCCACGTCTTCGGTTTGGTAAGCCACATCTCTTACTTGATTCACCCAAGCTTTTATCTCCACGTTGCTCTTATCCATTGCATCCACCACCTGTAGGAAGGCGTTCATGCTTTGTAGTCCGTCCCTGATAAAATCTATTTCTTCACACACTCCTGACAAGAGTTCCACCTCTCACTGGAGCAATGGTATGAGCTTCTCCAGCAGAAGGTTCAAAGGAATCTTGGCCATCTCTCTCTCTTCAAGGGGTACAAGCTGACACAAGCTATCTCTCCTCTTTCTCCTCTCTTCATTGAAGAGTTTTAGGTTCTTTCCCCTCTATATATCAAAGTCGTAGTAGGTTTGAAAGCGAATGAGGCTCATTTATTTTTTATTTGTCGCCCGGTGTAAGGGAAGGAAAAGCCAAGAGCCATGACGCTTTTGTGAATTTAGGCTCAGTTTGCATTGTAAAAGCAGATAGCGCCATAGTGGGAAGAAAAAAGTCTTTGTTAGACCAAATTGCCCCTGGTTTAAAAGCCCGCCCTTCTCTCTATCCTCATCTAAAGGGAAGATTGTTGACATTTCAATCTTAAAGAACCAAAGCAAAAGGGTAGTCTGCGCCAAAGCAAAAGGGGAGATATGATTGTTTGCATTTCAATCTACAAGAACCAAGGCGAAAGGATAGCCAATGCCAAAAGTAAAAAGGGGAGATTGTTGGCATCTCAATTATGGGTGTCCATGAAAAACCGAAAAATCAAATTGAATCGAGAAAACTGAACTAGAAAATGCGGTTAACTGAATCGATCGGTTTTGGTTTCGGTTTAGAATTTTTGAAAAATCGAAGAATCGGTTCGGTTTTCGGTTAACTTAGAAAACAACCAATGGTATATTTATATTATATTTATAATAATCTATTTATAAATATATTATATATTATATATTTTTATAATATTTATAATATCTTATATATCATTTATTATTTGTAATATAATATTATACATATATTTATATAATATATATTATAAATATAAAAAACTGAAAATCGATCAAAAACCGAAACCGACGGACTAGTTAACCGGTGGTACTGGTTTGGTTTGGATTTGGAGAAATTGAAAAACCGGTAAAACCAGTTCGATTTACAAAAATTGTCCACAATCCGATTAACCGAACCGTGGACAACCCTAATCTCAATCTAAAATAATCAAAGCAAAAGGAGAGATTGTTGGCATTTCAATCTAAAAGAACCAAAGCAAAAGGGGAAATTGTTGGCATCTTAATCTAAAAGAACCAAAGCAAAAGGGGAGATTGTTGGCATCTCAATCTAAAAGAACCAAAGAGAAAGGGGATATTGTTGCCATCTCAATCTAAAAGAACCAAAGCTGGTTCTTAGCTCACCTTTGTATGCTCAATCACTACAAGAAAAATGAGCTAACCTGGCACTAACCGAACTGTTGGCTTAGCCTTTTAAACTGTCAACATAGGCATGAGCCGACGATTCAGCCGTCGCCATATATAATTGCATTCCTTAGGTCATGGACGTAAGCCTAGAAGACAAAGACCGCCATCGTAGAGACCCAGTCCAACTATTCATCAGCCGATGGTGTTTAAAGAACTACTGACCCATTTAATATACGACGGTGGTACAAATCGTTGGGACAAGATATGTTAGACAACAACTTGATTGTCGGCCTACTACATCCCAACCCCATAGAATGTGGCGAGTCATCTCGGACCCGGCAAGGCCCCCCCTTATAAGCTTTTGGTTCACTTCTCCAAGGGGAATCTTAATTGGCCATATGTGGTCAACACTAGATTTCAATTTCTAGGATTCAAAAACAAAGAGTTGTTACTTTAGACTTCTTTGCGCCAAGGCTAAGCGTAAGCATAAGCATGTGTGTGTAAGAGAGAGAGAGAGACTAGCTCATGAAAAACATACTTTGGCTCATTGTAAACTGAACTTCAAGTCAAGCCAACTAAATTGAGCTGCATGCAACAGATGCATTATCAAATGAGAGAAAGGAATGTTTGTAGGCCGTATAGAGCCAAGTTGCAACAATGACTGAATCAACCAAGTTTATATCAAAGAATATGAAATTGAAGGTGATTATTATGAGAACATGTTAAGGTATTTCAATGAAGAACTAGATTAATTTCTTGGGATACGTACAAGGAAGCAGGGTGGAGCCTGGGGTGGCAGAGGGGAGCCATGGCTCTTCTATGTCTTAAAAATCTCCATAAGACTCATTTAAATCCCTCTTCTATTCTATGCTTTCTACCTTTTGGCCCCTCTTAATACAAAATCCTAGCTCTGCCCCCGGAAAGAAGCCTTTGGTGTTCAACGGTGGTGGTCTGGTGGTTTTATTGCATTGAACAGGGGAATTGATAGAAGGACAGGAGAGAGAGAAAAGAAAGAGGGAGCAGGGCGACGAGATCCACTAGGGAAACTTTGTTTAGGTGCCGTGTGTCCTTGTCATAGGTATTATTCCTAGGTATCAATTGTCAATGAAACGTACTTCAGACAAAGTGGGCCCAATAATACATCCAAAGGAAAGGATTTTTTTGAGTGGGACCCATCTGTAATTTTTTAGAATTATTTTATTTGAAAAAACCTTTCTTGTTATTTTATTTAAGGTCAAAACTCAAAAATGGCCTTTCCGCAGAGTTACTTGTATTGGTTTGTTAGGCAATCGTATTACTGCTAGTTAAAAAAACCTCAATTAATTTTCTTCAGTGTTTCTTCTTATCATCCCTGGCATTGTTATGATATTAATTATTGACGATATATATTAAATGAATTTGTAGACCTATGACAGTTTCCTGGCTGCTCTAAGAATTTTGATTAGGAGGTTGGGTGGTTTTTTATTTTTTATAAATTAGGTTAGGTGGTTGGATAGGCCTTCGGATTAGTTTATTCATGTATGCTTCAGTGATTTTTAATTTAGTTTATTCATCCATAAAAAAAAAAAAAAAAATCCAGCAGTATAGAGTTGATGTATTACAAAATTAATGGGCTCAAAAAGGAGATTTCAGCTTGTCGTCGAGGTGTAGAGTGGCCATACCATTCAAGTCTACAGTGTCTTTCACACTAATTATCTTATCGCATATTTAGCATTTTCCGAATCATTTGCCAAGAAAAGACATTCCAACACTTTTATAGTGGGTTCCAATTATATAATGAGATGTGTTATGTCAGGCCACGTTAGTAGGGTGTTGTATATCACTTATTCACTTGTGATTGGTTAGGTGCAAGCAAACGTCCGTATATATAATGAGACGGTTCTCATCAAATGTTGGCATAGTTTTTAATCTTTATACCACCCCCTTTCTTGGTAGAATACATGGATAAATGTACATGAAAAATTAATTTCATTAAAAACCAAAAGCATACATTGTTATATTTACAATCAAGGGTATATTCCAACAACAATCCATTTTCATAACGTTAAACAATATAGGTAAAGAAAAAAAAAAAAGGCAAATCACTTCAAAAGATGGCTTAGCTTGTAGTTGTCCCGACTGCTAAATTCCTAAATCCTACCTGATATATATATATATATATATATAGAAATTAATTTATAATTGATGAGGGCATCTCAAAAATAGTTGGATGACACCCAACACTACGTAGGTGATAACCTGCCTTAACTAATGATGGAGACCTGAAGATCTACCTTCAGAAACCTGTTAGAAACCTGGCGACCCACTTTCGGAGATACATGGCATCTAAATTACACCTCAACACCTAGTCAGCGAGTTAGCTCAGTAAAATTAGCTCGGATTATCTCACCCAGGCCGATCTCTACCTCGGCAAGACCGAATTAGGTGACCCCATAGGATTACGACAAGTTGTCCTAAAAGTCAGTCAAGCTGTAGGGACTTAAGGCGACCTACTAAGAAGAGCTCGCTAACCACCCCTGCAGTTTCCAGTACAGCTTGGCAAAGCCGAGATGGCAGCCCCATAGGATTACGGTGAGCTGTCCTAGGAGCCAGCCGAACTGAGAGGATCTAAAGCGACCTGCGAGGAAGAGCTCGCTAACCGTCCCTAGCAGCTCGCTACCAAAGGTGCCGATAACGCGACCATTAGAATGGCTCACCGTGTCGCGCACCAGATTCTACACGAACGAATCATAACTCCTGCGAAAATCTATCAACTGACACTTTAATGTGCCTGAAAAAAAAAGGAAACAACTTCACAAAGATCTCAAGACTGTTACCCTAAGCCCCCAGAGTTCAGGGGCCTATATAAGACGTTCAGATCCACCCAAAAAGGTATGCACACTGATACTTTCAAAGCTCTCTTATGTTCTCAAAGATTACTCCTACCCACTCACTGACTTAAGCATCGGAGTGCCCTCCCCGGGTAAAAACAACCTGGGCACCCTCACCTCCTTTCTCTTTACAGCTCACAACAGCTCAGTCACACAAATACCAGCTCGTCACTGCCCAGTTGGACCCCTGTTCGAGCCAAATCACAAGACACAAGGGAGCATCTAGATTGTGCAGCACCAATTGGCACCGTGTGTGGGAAACCGCTACAAAAAGCTAAGTTCTCACCTTCTAGAAAGCTGAGTTTTCACTTTTTAATTTTCGTTTCTATTAACTCAATGACATTTTTTAGCAACACTAACATCAAGAATGAAGAATCAATCACTGGGGGGCAAGAACATCTATGATGAACCTTGATAACCCCCTTGTGATAATTAGATGTAGGCATGGGAGAACAACTACTAGTAGAACGATTAACATTAGCAGAACGACCTAAACAACCAGCCTCCCATCAACAACGCGACACTCGATAACAACCAACTAACAGTGGAGAGCCAAGCTACGGCTCCACTCAGTACTGAGTTCGCCAGCTCATTTACGAGGACCAAGAAAAAGTGTGGAAGGCGTATTCACTGTGCTAAAAAAAAAAAGCCAATCCACT